TCGCCACCCATCCCCCTGCCTCAGCGCTTTGCATTTGCTGCAGTTCCTTGCTGCAAAACCCCCTCTTCCAGTCTCGTTCCGGTTGCCTTGAATGAGCTTATTTGACAGCTAAGAAACAAATTATATCGAGGGCTTGCAAATCTGTCCCTCCACCCTCAAATCAATCCTTTCTCACTCACTTTCCCTGGGTCCCCTCTGCATTTCAATCCTTCCACTGCCTACATTGTGAACCGATGCCAAGAGCCAAGGCAACCAGGGCTGTTACATGAAAGAGTTGCTTTATGTCTGTTTAAACTGCAGTATCCTATTCAAATAGACCTTATTGTTCAAAGGCACAGATCCAAACACAAAAGGATCAGAGAACAGGGTACCACACTTCACGGCTCCATACACTGGTTTTCCCTTATACAGCTCTTCTCCTCAAAGAATCCCCCCATCCCAATATCGCATTCAGCTGAAGATGTGACTTGGTTGCTGCGCACCCGCAGGGTACGGGCTGAGCCAAAGTCAGCCAGCTCTGCACGGGGAACAATCCACGGGCATAATAACGTCATTGAGGAGATACAATCCCACTTTATGCCCAGTCAATAAAGTCATACCTATTTCAAATCCAGGGTTTCCTCCCAAGTAAGTTCCCTTCTCAAAACCACTAAGGTTTAGGGTCTAACTCCCTCCCAAAAATGCTGTATGTGCTGAATGGACCAGAGTGATAAATACAACAGAAACCAATCGCCAATTCCTTTGATTACAACCCATCCCTAACAAGGAGGCACTTGCAGGTGCTGGTTCACAGCCCATTTCTAACCCTTCCACTCCCTCAGCTTCTCACCTTGCAGAATTACCTATAGTATTGAAAGGGAAATCAAAAGCTGCCTTCAGTGCGGGCACCGAGGTCTGCTCTGCACTGCCACCCGCAGTCACAGCTTGGCCAAAGGGACTCCGGTGCCTTCAGCCCTCACTGCTGCCTTCCACGTCCTCTGCAGGTATTTAGCCAACTCCTTTATATTCCATTTCTCCCACAGTACCTCATCCTCCCTGCCAAAACAGCCTGAGCTGCTTTGTGATCCCTCCGAAGGAAACAAATCCCAGCAACTGCAACATGCCCGGGTTTCAGGTTAATCCATGGAGCCAAGAGCAGTTCACAGGTATGAACCAAGTCCTGGCAACACCCTCCTGGAGGAAGAGAAACTGACTGATAAAGTCAAGGACTTAAGAGTGCCAAAACCTGGTTTTTCCCCTAGTTTTGACACAAAGCTACACCCACAGGGCTCTTCTCTTTCTCTCTCCCTCCTTTCCTACATGCAACATGCTCCAAGGACTACAGACAAGCCCCCTGGCTCATCACCACAACCACTCTGATGATAGGAAGAACCATAGAAGGCACTGGGACCATGATGCTGTTCCCTAAAATGTTAAGTACCAGAGTTAGTAATTTGGAAGGGGGAGGGAAAAAACCCCAAACCACCCAAAAGCCATCTTGCCAAATACCACACAATTAATTTCATTTGTTCTCTTCTAACCACGTATTATCACTATTAGGGGGAAAAGAACATTTATCCAGGCATAACTATGAGTTAAGGGACAGCTATGAATAATACCTCTATTAGCAAGGAACTGAGTAACCATTTAACTTACATGACAGGAGAGTCCAGTTCTGGATTATCTAAAGGAGTTCAGTACACAGCCAAGATCTCAGTGTACAGTATAATGGGTTTTGTAGCAAGAAACAGAGTGTTGCATCTGACGTGCACGCACAGCTTTTACATTTAAGAAGATACTTTGCCTTTTATTTTCGTAGTGAGCTCAGGTTTTCTAGCCCAGCACCCAAAATGCCACAGAGGATGTTGAAAAGAATCTGTACCCAAAGCAGAATCCCATATCCATGATGCTGAAAAACAGGCAAGCTCCAAAACTGAGAACAAGACCTTTTTCCATGGTAGTGGAAGGAAGAGCTTACATGGTGGCTAAAGGGATGGCATATGGTGCTAGGTGGGCCCCACACAAGGATGCTGCTCCTCCTCTTTGAGCTATGGCAAAATAAGAGTAAATGTTAAGGGGGACACCCTCCCCTCTGCACTGCTTCCCCCACACAAGGCCTCTGCTCATCACCTCCGCTCAGTAGAAACATAAGAGGCTGCGGGCAAAAGAAGGGAAAAGACCAGAGGAAGAGTCCTTGGTGTGCTCCATGAGGCACAAAAAGACGCAGTAGGAGCGACAGGGAGCTCTGGTACAGGGAGACGGGGCAGCCAAATGCTGCAGCCTGGAGCCTGTTTCTGCCAGAGAAGGCTCTGGGCTGTGCTGAGGGACCTGGCGCTGCCCGGGGCTGGCAGGGCGCTGGTGTCTCCAGCTGCAGCCCTCCTCCAGCTGCCCGGCCCCAGGGTTCCACGGTTGCCATGGCTCGGCAGAACCAACACAAAGCACCTCCTCCAGAAAGACCGTTGTGGATGCAAAGAGGCTGAAGGATGCTCCCTGGTAGGAACAGCTTTTCGGCTTCAGAAGAAACAGCGGAGGGTCCGTTCCCGCTGGGACCTTTCCCAAGGCACATCTGGATCCACAGCAACACTCCCCAGGATGGCTTGGATGAGACTTGCCATGAGATCTGGAAACGTGTCCAACGACTTTCTGAGGAGCTGCAGGAGCCATTGCTGGTGGCCCCGCTGCAGCACAGGCTCTGCTCAGACCTGCTGGAGAGCCTGTGGACAGACACCTCCAGATCCCAGAGCAAGTAAGTGACCTTCAAGTGTTGCCCACGCTCCAGCAGAAGAGTCTGCTCCTCTCCTCTTTGCACCTTCGCGAAGCAGACTGCTGTAACCCGTTGAACTGAAAGCCTGGGGCACAGGGTACATCGGCTGCTGTCTGACAGCCTCCTCAGGAGGCAAATTATTCCCATTTTTTTCCACCATAACCAATTTTCCTTGGAAAAAAAAAAAAGTGTGTCCCATGAAATCTGACTACTTCAAATTCTGAAGCACCATAAGCAGCTGCTGCATTCGCTTCCCCACCACATTTAAAGAAAAACAACCACACACATCAAAATATTTACAGGAAGAAGTGAAAGCAGCATTCAAAGGAGCAAAATCGAAAATTAAAGTGTTATAAGGAAGCTACTGTAAACAGCTGATCTTTACAAAGAAAAGCTGAATTTAGCACTGAAAAATTTATGCCAAATCATGTTTCACAGGACAAATAATGGTAAGAGGGAAGCGTGCTCTTCACACTAGTGGCATAATATTTACTGTGGGCTCCCAAAACAGAAACAGCAACATTTATAAACCCAGCAGCCAGCCAGCAAAGCTTTAGCACATGTCCAGCTCTCAACGTCCACACAAACCATCGTGTGAGCCTGACCCATCTTGCCTGGTGCGTGGAGAAGTTTAAATGGTCATGTCATCTTCAAAAACGCAACTTCACTGCTGAGGAAATAGGTAGTTTCCCAGAGAAGACAAGGAGACACAGAAAGGGAAGTACCTACAGTGATGCCAGGCAGAAACCCAGGCATTACAGCTTGGAGCACTGGCTCCTTCCATTTCTCCTCCATGTCCTAAACAAGCAGAGATGTTAAGAGGCTCCAAGATAAATACAGGAAAAGGGAAAATGGGTAACTGCAGAACCACAGGAACCCACAGAGTTGCCTGTAGTAGCAGGTTAAATTGCACAGCTGAAGTATCTTTACAATTAACACATGCTTGTCAGCCATAGGTTTTGGTCCTGCCAGTTGCTAAGTCATTTTAGGAAAGACAACATTATACAGACCAGTGAAGAACTATCAAATACCAACATTCTTAACTGTATTTTTTAGCACATTTTACTCAAAGAAATACAGATCTGGTCATTAGCAGTAAGTCTACTGGCCAGCTTAACAACATGACTTCTAGCCCTCTGAACATGCAATTACAAGCAAGTGCAACTGGGCAGACAGCAGATCAAACCAGGTTTTGTTTTACTACCTTAATGTGAGCTGTGAGCTCTGGGATCCCTGCAAGGAAGGCAGGGACTAAGACAAGCACAAGGACCAGAGGCAAACTCAACAACTTCAGTTTAGATGAAATTAAAAAGACAGCAAAGTCCACGGCTCAAGTACTACCCCCGAGTTCACAATAATGATCCTCTACTCACTGTTCATCCACCGAGTTACCTTTGGCAGCTCACGGGGCCGTTTCTCCCAGCAGTGTTTTCCTGTCATTAGGCAGAAGTGCCTCTGCCACACGCTCCTACACAGCAGGGCACGATGATCATCACTTGCTCACAGACCCCAGAGTCACTGAACCTTCCAACAACAGCCAAACCAGAACACTAAAATGTACCAAATGATTGTACAAAGCTCGATTAAATACTTTAAATATAAGCAATTCAAGTGAGACAGCCATAAGGGCAGGTTTCTACCTTTGAGTAGTACCTCGGCTACCTCTACTACTCCTGAAAAACTTAGAGAAAGACAGATAAAGAAGAATCTTTCAGTATAGACCAACCGTCAGTAAAGCTGTCACCCAATCCATCAGTTGCAATAGCATCAGTGGCCAAAGGGAAACAAGAAGTAGAGTTGCTACCTCAGCTCACTCCAACTACAGCCAGGGCACAGATGCCAACAGGTTATGCAAAGCAGCAAGAGGTGACCTGAAAAACACAAGATTTGAATAAGAAGTTGCAGAACCAGGGCTGCAGCCTGTGAAGCCACCACAGCCAGGAACCCCACTGAAAGATGCGGCAAAAAGTCCTATGAAATCGGCCGTACTCAGAAATAGCCCAACAATTTTCCAGTTTCATATTCACAATATAAATCTGTTGAGGTTAAAGAAAATATCTGTGTTCTTTAAAAACAGGGGAAGCAGCATCCTACCAGTTAGAGTAACCCTATGATTAGAGAGAGCTACACTTAGAGTTTTAAATTTCCTAATTTTAGCTGTTTAGGAACCATATATGCATCTCTACAGTGCGTGCACAGAGCATCAGTCTTCCCCTCAAGCTAAGAAGAGTAAAGTGATCGTAAAGTTACTGAACATCACAAGGTGGATGTGAAAGAGCAAACTGGAATTTAAATCAGGTTTCTGACCACAACAGGCACTAGTTGGCATTTTGAGCAGGTTACAGGCACTTCGGATTGTTCAGCTTTGACAGCAGTTCCACTGTGAGGTCCCAGAGGATGCTGAGGGCTGGAGAGGTGCTTTGTGATGCACCCTACAGACCAAACCAGCTGACAGTCTTACCTCCCTATAGGCCAGGTGGTTAATGAGCTACAAATACTACAAGTCCCACCTCTGTTAAAGCCTTACAGGTGATAACTAATTACAGCAGTCCAAGGACAGTGGGGCCCTCACCCTGCAAAGATCTAAGGATCCACTGAACCCTCAAGGTTGAAGCTCTGCAAATCTGCAGCCCAGAGAACAAACAACGTTTCTCCCATTAGGGCCACTGGGATACAAGGCACACACAGAGCTCCAGAGAGCTCTTTTCATGTTGACAGCCACAGGGTTGAATTTACCATCTTCAACAGACAACATGAAAACCATCCCCCAGGGCTTCTCCACCTTACAAACAGTTGTGAGGGTAACTCCAATAAAGGTTACCAACTGTTCTAATACTATGGCACAAGAAACCATGTAGTAACCCACCTCAAAGCATGTTCAACTCATTCACACCCACACAGCAAAGAATCATCTTGTTTGATGCCAGACTTTGTTGTTTACAATGGAAATATATTTTGACCCACAAATATTTTGAAGCATATATCCTATAATCATTCCTTGCACATCTATTATGCTGTCATCCAGACATTAACTCCAGTTATTCTTGGACAGATGCAGTAACTAAGTTTATTGTGTTGTTTTGTTTGCCTTTCATGTGGTTCTTTGGAAAAGAACAGTGGGAAAGATGAAATTTTACCTGTTTGAGAAGGAACACCCGAATCTTACATAGAACACTCACAAGAGAAAAATGCAAGGCTTAGGAGTCTTAATCGGACTCAGTTTTAAGTCAAACCTCCTTTAACAACAGCCATATTCCACTTTCTTACAGCAACTACTTGCTAGATGAACCAGAGGGACTTGAAAGCATATACAGAGCAATGATTGGAAACAAAGAACGGGAGATGAAGTTAAGAGCTCTCTGTGACGCTCAGCTTTCTGCTAAATCTGTTATCACCAGCCTTCTGTACTCGGCAAAGTCCCACAAGAACTCCAAGGGGCTGGAGGATAGCAGCGCGACAGGCACTGGCAGCACAGAGAGCAGCAAGCTGGAGGTGCCGCTGAGGGACACAGACACAGCTAAAGGCACAGGCAGCCAGGCAGTGGCTGAGGAAACAAAGGTGGTGAAGGAGGTCAGCTCTGCCAAGAGCACTACAGCCCTGTCAGCAACAACCACAGCAGGAAGTGAAGCCACAGGACAAAAGGAGCAGCTCCCACCGCTTGCCAAGACTTGCTCCAAAACCAGTTTTGATGCAGTCACCAAGAACACAGGTATGGATCTGGGCATGGTCCCTGAACATCACCTGGGAGTCATGGGAAAACTAAGGCAGACACCAGAAGCTGCCCTATGGTGATGCCTTTTCCAAGCCTCATGCAAGAGACTGACAACTGCCCAACCGATCTTTCCATCCGAGAATTCTCATGCTATACCATGATGCTGGTATCTCCCTGCCCTCTAACCAGCACCTATCCAGAGTCCTTCTCACTTCCTGAAAACAGTAGAAATAGGAAAGTCATGATCATAGAGATTTAGGTATTTGCTCAGTATTTTCTAGAGGCCTGGTCTCGGGGTTACAGCACAGTTTTGGGGGTCAGTGTTATTTGGGGACGTGTTTCTGATTTGTTTCAGGGGGTTTGTTTGGGGTTCCTTTGTTATGTCATGACTTTTGGGTTCCCACTGTGAGACATTTAAAAGATCCTGATTTCTACCAAGTATCAATAATTACATTCCTCAAAGCATCTTAGAATAGGCAAAACCAGTGGTCCATGTCCAGATCTACTGCTTAAGTTGCTGGGCTGTATTAATGAGTCACAATCAAACTTATTCTCTATTGCAATATTCTTATCTCTTGAGTTTTGAACTTCAGGCAAACGTTCCTGTTCTACTCTCACAGTGTGATTTGTTGTCATGGTTCAGGCAATTGGCTTTATTCCAGGTCCTGTGGGTCACAGTGTAACAACCCCAACAAGTGAATTTGAACCACTAATTGCTGAGTCTGGGGCACCATATTGCAGAACTACAGCCTGCAAAGCAACAGACAGCTTAGATGTTGCTTAGAGGCAAAGCATGTCCTCGTAACTGCAGATGTTCTGCAGATGCATGAAGAAAATGCACATTTATTAATAGCTTTAACCTTGTTTTGTTTTACAGTAACAACTGGAACACTGGATAAGAAAAGTGTTAAATACAGTGCAAGTACTTCAGGCTTTACTACTGCTTCAGTGATCACAGGATTGAACCAGCCAGTGTGGCAGAGTCTGAGCTTCCCTCCATTTTCCATCTTTCCCAACCACTTTCCACAGTTTCAGGTAACACAAAAAATAGACGCATTTTGTGAGAAGATTAGAACAGCCCCAGAGCTCTCCGCCTTCATTAGTTCCCTTTTGTATCTTTTTACTGACAAATATTTACATCTTTTACAACTGTGATCCCTTGATTTACAAATATTTTGACATGATCTATTACAAACATTCCAGGTGATTGCCCTGTTCACAGACGGGGATGCTGCATATTTAGTCTAGTGAAACAGGACTCATGTCAAAGCAAAAAAGCCAAATAAGCTTAGGAAGAAGCCCAATGGTCAAGTTGAAAGCAGTAAAAGAACGGAACGCTGGTAATACCATGTAGCCACAGCTTTCTCTGGGCTGTGCTCCCGTGTTCCCTTTGACAGCCTCCGTTCATCCTACAGCTCTCAGAAGCTGGCACCAGCCTGTCCAAGAGGCAGAGGGTGGACGCACAGGACTCGGAGCACACATTTTGCCAGACTGAGCTCCCTTGAATCTTACAGTCCAAGAACTTTCCTTTCTCCATTAAGACAGTGAGTAGCTGGCACAGCAGACACCTGCTCAGCAGAGGACGAGCACCCAACCCATCCACCTCTCAGCAGTCACCTGGGAACTGGATTTGTCCAAAGGCAGAACAGGGAGGAGGAAGAGGAGAGGGCTCAGACTTAGGGAGACTTTTGCCCAAAGCTACGAAATACACTTACCTCTGTGCATAATGTTCCTGTAAAAAGCTCACACAAGAGTCATTAATGCACCAACTCAGACTGGTTTGAAAATCATGTCTTATTATGTGCTCGACAGGGTCCGTATCCCAGAGTGAGGATCCCTTTCCAGCAAGCTGTGCACCCCTCCTTTGCATGCTACTCAGGACAGGTACGTCTCAGTGGTTACCAACACGCTTTAATCTGCAGAGCACAGATGCTGAGCACAAGACAAGTCAGAGCAGTTTGTCATGTGCCAGGACTGACATCGGTACCACTGCAAAAATAGATCTGGGGACAAGATGCTGAAGTGAGAGATGTGAATATAGTTTGCTGGAGCACTGTGTGCTGCAAATAGCTCGAGAGAGGGCCTTGAGCCTCTCACTGAAAACACTTACTGCTTATGCTCCAGTTTTGTATAAAATTGGGAGGCACCACAGCATGTGTCTGAGGAAACAGTTTTGACAACTCCCATTTCCATTTGTGCCCTTCCTGCCCCACTTGTTTTTAAACACACACTATTCCTCTTTCCTCCCCAGGTAGCTCCATACAGCCCCCAGCAGATTTTCCCACCACCTCCCGCTTCCATAGTGAACTACATCACCCTGGTCCCGCCGGCGTACCCGTACCAGCAGATCGGCCCAGCCACGCTGCCCAGCAACATCCAGGACCTGCCACCGATGGCCGGCGATGGGCTCCAACTCCCATTTTCCCCTTCCCGAGGGTATGGCCATGCAGATTTGCTTCCTGGTTTTTAGGAGAGTGTTAGCTGCTGTAAACCTGCACAGAGCTAAAGATTCACTCAGCAGCTGGGTTTCCTAGTTACATTCCCAATTCCAAATCCAAACCAAAGACAAGATTTACTATAAAGTCTAAATTGTAAGGTGGTTTTGTTGCAAAACCAGAGTAAGTAATGTGGGGTGAAGGAAGCTGCAGCACTGTGCTATAGGAGATGCCACCTACAACTTCCAATCAATATTATGGATTAAAAGTATAAATACTTTAACTTAAAAAGAGAAACGCTTCAGCATGACAGAAACCAAAATATTTTGACACTGTCAGAATGAAATTAAAGGATTCATTTTGATGCCTTTCTATAAAAACTGCAGTTAAAAAAAAATCAACATATTCCAAAGGTCTGGGAGAATAATCTCTGGAAATTCGAGTTCTGTTAAATGCTTATGGGATAGACAGGAACAGCACACACTCACACACCTCCCCCACAGAGCACCTTTCCAGAAATCATATTACACATCCAAAAAAACCAGATCTCCAAGAGTTCCATTATTAGGAGGGAAAAGTAGTAATTTGGGAGTTAGAGGCAACCCCTGAGCCTGACCACGTTTTGTGTTTCAGGCTCGCTTCTGTACCTGGAGGAGCCGCGACACCTCGGCTCAACTACGTTACCAACGACAACTCAGGAAAATTTTAAGTGACCCCTGTTTTTCTCCCCCAGTATCCAGAGAACACTCTGACCTACCTGGCTAAGTCCCGGTGTCCTGTAAGGATTCCATGTTTTTCCCAAAGTGACTACTTCCATCTCGAATAATCCCCTGTGATTTATATAGTACCAAACAGCTGCACAACAATTCACCTGAACTGGATTTTTTTAGGATGACAGAATAAGAAGGGGCTTTTTTGTTGTTTGGAAGATGAATACAAATAATAAAATGTTTTATTTATGACAAATGCCAGAGCTGTTTAGAACTGAGCGTTGGTGCAATATAGACGGTTGATAGAAATGAGTCTTGGCCACAGATTTCAGAGACAGTAACTTCAGCTGTCTATTCAAAGAGATTAACACAAATACATTCAGTAGCTGGGTGGTGCAGCTCCATGTATGACACATTCCTGTTATTACCTCTTATGCTAATCCAGATGGGAATCTGGTTTTTACTATCAAAGAAGATCAAGCCATAAGCCTCGTATGGAGAATCCTGATTAACTATATTCTACGGTTATTTAATTGAGGAATTTCCAGGCTCTAGCTTTTGACAACAAGCCTTTGCCACTGCAAAATAGCTTCTGAAGCCTGCTACTGGCTGTGTGTCTGCTGGATTTCAGCCACAGTCTGCTGGGTCAGAAGCAGAAGAGTGATTAGATGGGATCCTACAGCCTGCATGATACACGTCAGAACAAATTACCACAAAAGCCTCTCCCAACCTCAAAACTAGTGAATAAGGTCTCTGTCACAAGATCTGACAGCTCGCGATCATCCAGCCCTACACCCAGGAGTTGGCAAGTCAGTCTGCTCTGAAATTCAGAGAGATTTACACTTTGCTTAAGATTACTGCACCCATACATGTGAAGATGTGAAATTAACTCCTTACACTGCGTAACAGAAGCCTGGGCACGCCACAGATAGTTACAGGACCTACAAGATGTAGAGCACCATTCATTCCTGGAGGAGCCGATGGGACCAAACATGCTTAACCTCTGCAGGCACGCAGAGCTCAACCCGTTCTGCAACTCCCTTTTAGTACCTCCCATTACTACTTGATGTCACATGCTGCTCCCTGGCCAGATCCTTGTGTCTTTTCTAGCTCGTCCATATCCTCCATTATATCTGTTACAGGCTTCCTTTCAAAAAGAATTTGACAGAACAAACTAATTATTTACTTATGTTTTTCAAAACCTAACCTTGGATCAGAATTTGCTTTGGCTGAATTCAGATACGTTCTGCCCCAGTAAACTCCCATTTTCTTGAAGTAGAATAGAAGATTGGATTTTTCTTCTGTTAAATCCACTGGCTGTTTTTCTCCAATATTCCTAATGCAATTAGCATAACAAGATAAAGGAATCATCAAGCCCTTTTCCATTTTTCTTCCTTTATAAAAGGACTGATGACAAACTGGAAATCAGAATCTGTATTGAATTACATTTGCCACAAAAGAGTTCATTAAGTAATAGTACATAATAAAAATCGTCTGTCAACTTGAAGGATAGACCAAATCCACTTAACGAAACAGCTGGTTATTTTCTAGAGCACTCTATAGCTCACACAGTCAATACGAGCAGGGAGAAAGGCTGAGACAAAGGGAAATAAGGAACACTTCAGATATTAGCATGCTGAGCCACAGTGTCAAAGCTTTTGTCTTCTGCTCAGTCATAGCATGACTGTAGGTAAGACCTTGCCCATGGAACACCGATTTCTCCCTCATTCTATCAGTGACAAAAGGTCTTTTTACCAGGAAAAGGATTATGAGGTTAAGGACATGACAGACCGTGAGATGCTTCAACAACTGGAGTATCATCAGGGGACCTGAATTTGTATCCCACTCCAACATATCAAATGATCCATGATGACCATGGAGGCAGAGGCAGGTTTCCTCTCCCCAGCTTCCATGCACAAGGCTGGAGCTGCACTACCACATCCTAGCAGAGAAGCACCACTGCTCCCAGCCTCCCCAACCAGGAAACTCAAGTGTGAAGGTGCTTCTGACTTGCAAAGTTTGTGCTCCCAGAAGCAAATCAGGGAAGAGAAAGCAGAAGAATCAGTGATAGTCCTTCACTCTAACAAGCTATATTGGCTCCCTCAGAGGAAATGTGCTTCCCTTTCCATATTCAGCTCACTCACTGAATAATCCAAATCCATGGAAACCACCTGCACTGCTCTGGCTCAAGGGATTTGTTCCAAAAGTCCTTGAAGTCCTGTAACACACCACGTACAGTGAGAGTACTACAGGTAACATCCAGGGCCGCAGGACAGACAGCATGTTGGGAGCAAAGGGGAGCAGAGACACAGCATCGCTGTGACTTGCACAGCCCCTGTTGCTTGCATTTAACAAGTCTCACAAGAGCAGCTCTTCTTTAAAGGAATCATTTCCATTTTACTCTTGTTGACTCTTCACCATTCACAAATTTATTACAAGACGCTTTTTGTGGTCCTGTCCTTCCACATATCTATGGAGGTTTTAGAGAGCAGACCTACATAGTCCCATAATAAAGCCTCAGAAGAGAACGGATGCAGAAGCCCTGTCATGGCCTACACTTGACTGCACACTAGATCCTTCTTAGGCAATGGACCAAAGCTAAAACTAAAACTAGTCGTGAACATTAGAAGTAATCTGTTAATGGTGTTCCGTCTTCGAGTCCCACGCAGAAACAGTCAGGACAGAACTCCAGGCCCAGCATCGTGATGATCACAATGCAGTCAGACAAGGGGCACCTCTGACCCAGCAGAGCTTTACAAAACCTGAATGTACAATGAGCACGGCCACGCCACCACCACACCAGCCTCCCACCTGAGGCAAATCACTCTCTAGAGCTGCTGTGCTCACTACCTGCTGCAATGGGCCAGAAACCACTGCAGTTTCCAGCTGTAGACACAAGTTTTTCCCCTTTCAAATATGCCCTTGTATTGCCCTGGCGATGAGAAGCACAGAACTCCTCACTGAGCAGCAGGAAGTCTTGCTGAAGATCTCCCCTCTCCTGGGTGAGGATCCTGCCCTTATTCTGTGTACTGGAGCAGCAAACTGGGGGAACACAACCGGCGTACATCAGAGCCGCAGATCCCTAGCTTATTTCGGAGACAACCACCTTCATCTGCAGGCACTGAGCAGCATCTCTCTCATGTTGCTTTCACTGCAGTGTTTCTGAAGTCTTTTAGCCCAGCTACCCAAGCCAAACTGGTACAAACCTAGCTTGCATGGCTCCCAAGCCCATTACACTTCAGATAATGTGGAGAGGGGGGATTGATGGAATAGCTATTAATCAAAGGATGGGGTTTATTCTCGTGATGTCACACAGCGCAGAAATAGAGCTCAAGCAGTTTATTAAATTACAGGAATGC